AGATCAGACATTATTAATGACCATTTGTTTATGAAACAAGGTGTCTATGAGATTAAATAAATACGTGCTATTTTTTATCATAAGTAACGCCGGTGAAAAACTAGACTTCGGATTTTCAAGTTTATTATTATTATACTTGACAGATTCAGCAATGACCAGAGACGTCTAATCACGCATCATATATGTAATAGGTCAATACCGTATGTCAGATGTAAACTTATACCCTGGTCACTATATCAAGATCGCAGGGCATAAGTAATAGTTATATCCTGGGCAGTTGGGTATAAGCGGGGCCGAAAGTCCCGCTTATACACATAGTGCCCAGGAAATAACTATTACATAATATTTGGGCAGACATCAATAAAGAAATTTAATATCTTAACTTTTATAGCTCATATTTTGATAAATTTTGAAATTATTCTAATAATTTAATCATTCAATAAAGATCGGATCTAAACTTTAACAGTTTCGATATTTATGTAATATGTTAATTTTTTTTAAAAAATATTAATCTGCTTTTTTTCTATAACGATAGCAAACGTAGAAGAAAAAAAATGGCATTTGCATAAATATATTTCCAAATTGATTGATTAATTAATTATTGATTTATTTTATGGATCATTTATAAGAAGAAGCATTCAATTATTTATTTTTGCAAAGAAAAACAACTCAATTATGAAAAACCATTATTCATCCAAAATGGTACCTTAACTTATTGTTAATTTTATTTATTACATTACAAAATCTCTTAATTATTAATGCTCAATTCGAAGCGATAGCGAATTTTGGAATTATTAGAAATCGAGATAAATTTAATTATTTAAGCTATTTATGAAATGAAGAAAAAGGAACAACATTTAACAACCTATTCGAGAGCTTGTATTAAGTTGCGATGAGATCTATAATAAAATGGTTTTAACAACAACAGTTTAGTTGATGTTCTTAGTGCGGGTTTTTTGATGAAAATTATAGATTAACCTAAGGACAAAGTGGTAGACTATTGGTGGAAATAAATTTTTAATGGATTTGATTATGATTCTTTAATACTGTAACAAATCAAGAAATCAGGTAAGGAATCATATAGTATTCCTTGAATTATTTGTTGCGGGCTTTTCGTCCCTGACTACTATAACAGGTATCAACTTATTAGTATGTCTACAAATCATAATGGTATCCTTCTTACAGGAACTCATAATATATACTTGCGTTCTGCCCCTGTGATAATGGTGGACCAGTGTTTCAGCACAGAGGTAATGCAGTCGGTATGATTGTACGTGAAATCTTCATCTGGGCACTAGCGTAATTACACCAATAATCACCTTTATAGAAACTAGCACGATTTTTATGACTATTAAATCCAAACTACCTCTTATCCCTTAAATTGTAGAGTTTAGCAGGCAAATTTGCCTGCTTCACTATTATAAATTTGTTTCATGATCTATTTTTTTAATTATTTAAAACATTTAAATAAATTTTGATATAATAATTTAAAAATAAAAATTATATATATTTTTGCAATATTTTATTTATATTATAGAAAAAATGTTTGAGCTATTTAAAATATGTAACTTTAAATATTGGTTTTAAAATAATAATTACGTACTGTATTTTCGCGTAATAACGCGCATGAGTGTTATTTTGAAAATCATGCCACCTAAAATAACATGCATGACTTCAAAATGACACCCATGTGTGTCCCAAAAATAACACGCATGCTTAGATCAAAGTAAATTGACTGACCACATAAATATCATCCTATGTCGGACGACCAAAATAACGCGCAGAGGGGGCTTATTATGTAATTGCTTATACATTTGATCAATGATAACGGTCGGATGTGAGTAATTAAACAAAAAAAAAATAAAGTATGTTCTTGGGGAACTTTATTTTGACCCGGGTTAAAGTCACCCAAACTATTACTAATACTATAAATTTCGGTCACATTATCAAGTTTATAGCTTAACTTTAACCCGGGTGAAATAGAATCCTTATTTTTATTTTTTTATTTTTTTTACTAAAAATAAAATAAAATCTCAGTATTAATTTTATACGTCTCTAAGGTTTTTCTTTGACAGCACTTACATATTGCCGAAACTATTTCGGCTTATTCGAAACTAGTTACGATATAATTTCGACTCAAGTTTCGACCACATGCATAGGCGGAATCCATATACAGCCAACCCACTAAATGCAATTTCTCTAAATGTATAGTTTATGAAAAACCTACCTAAATGCATGGTTCTACTTGACTCTAACTCACATGATACTTTAAATTTTTTTACCTCCACCAATACAATATCTTTCTAAATGCAAGATTTGCCAATGTTTTGTATAGTTCCCACATATAGGTTCTTGGCAAACAAAAAATTGACAGGAGCTAAAGTTAACACTAACCTAATGCGGTTAACTTGTCGATACACTCTATAGTCAAATGCCTCAATTGTTTACATATGTTATGAAAAAATATAAACTATACTTTTGGTAAAATTTGGATTATTAGTTATGAGAAAATCAATAAGAAAATCAATATCAAATAAATCAATCATTTTATGTGTATTATTGATCTAAAGATTGAATAGTCGAAGTAAAACACTTTATTGAATCCACTTGAAGATTTAATTTCAGGATTCTGATTTTCATAGATTTGTTCAGAAAAGAGTTTTTTGTAGTTGGAATTGAAACTTTATGCAAGGGGTCTCTTAAAGCGTTTCATAGATTGCGTTGAAATGAGATAACTTGACCTGGATTATTTTTGAATCACTACCTTCCTAATTCTTTTAATAGTTGTTCTAAATGATTGGTGAAGTATTTGAAACATTTCCCCAGGCAAGAGAGAGAGTAAATTCACAAAAGCACCAATTGTAAATATTGTCGTTGGAACTATCCAAAGTATTAGCCTCTCAATCAAGTAATGCGCGATGATCACAAGTAAAGGGGTGTTGACAACTGTTAGAATGTTAGTACAGCACAGGGTTACATTATTCATTTTCAGTGATTTGTGCGCCTTTACCACCCTTACCGTTACTAACTTAAATATTATTGAGGCAAGTTACAGGTCACGCGGTTGAAGATCAGGCCATTTCGAGAGAATACCTATGGTGCAGGGCATCTGTCACATCACGAAATAATTGTTTGCAATAAAAGTTTATCTTTTAATAAATATTTTTTTTTATAAACAAAACTTAGTTTATTTTAAAAATAGTTTACTATACGTAGAAGTTATTAATATACTATAGAAGGAAGTTATTAATACTATGATTTTAGCACTACGTATTATAAAAATTATAAAAAATTCAATCAATTTTATATAAGTAATGATCTGCAAAATTTTGACCATACCGATACTAACATTATAATAACCCATGTTATATAATATATCAAAAACAGGAAGAAAATTGGTATCACGGAGAGTTCTTATTGGGCATTATTCTGTTTTAACGAAATAATTTTTGACACCAGATCTTCAAAGGAGAAAATTTCATTTTCGTCTGCTGTATCACGAGGATACTATTTTCGCACGGGTTAATATTACCAAAGTTAGAAATATATAATATATCCTTGGCTTAATTCAGAAAAGGCGATAGTACAGTATCGAAATAACAATCATCAGTGCATTAGGTTGATTCCCCTGTGTGTTATTTAGAATACGCCCATATGCGTTATTTCGAGATAAAAAATTTGATATAAATCTGTCAACATATTATATGATATACGCGTTATTTTTGGATGCTTAGAATGTATTTTAAATTAACTTTACTATTTTTAAAAAAATCCAAGTTTCGAAACAATTTCCATGCTCGTTTCGAAATAATGTCCATGCTCGTTACTTCTAGATTTTAATGATCACCAATAGAATTAATAGTATTACACAGGAAAGAAGATAATCCAACACTGATAGGTATATTAAGTTACTTAAAAATTCGACATGACAAAACAAACGGATCTTGATACGCGAGAGGCACACCCATGATCATGTGGTGTACATACAATTGTTTAATTAAATTTGCTGCTTTATCATTAGTTTAAAATTGGTTTTTATTTTTTTTTTTTTACGGTGGTATATGGCATAAAATGTAAATAAATTTTATACGTAAGAAACTTGCGATACAAACTATTTGTAAATTTAACCTTGCCAATGGTTTATGTTTATTATCGATTTTATCCAATAAAATTATAACCTACAAAATTATATTAAAATGTGACCAATAATAAAAAAAAAAACCGTTTATATTAATAACGATTAATAACGATGTGCAACAATGTGGAAAGTTTAAACAAATAATTCTGCATTATGTCGATTATTTTTTGCTTATAATTGAATTACCTAATTTTAATAAATTATAAAATGAAATATTTTTGATTTCTACATATATTTCCCATTATATATAAATATATGCGGTAAGATTTTTTTTACTGTGGCGTATTGAGTTTATCCAAAACAAGGTATATTCTCTGGCAACTTTAAGACTACGTATTAATAAATAAGACAAGGCCTCGATGCATATATACAAACAAGGATCACAAATTTATTACTACTTACCTGCATATTTTATCTATCATTCGTCCTCCTTAATATATGCATGCTAGGTATATACTGTATGATAAAAATTTAATTTATTGCTAGGAATTTTTATGCATATGTATGCAATAAAATAAGTCAAAAGGTGTTTCATAACAAATCAAATGTTGCTTTAATGCTAGGATACTATTTTATCAGCAATATGCGAGAAGGTTATCGACAATATGCGAGAAGGCGTGTGTAATGTCGCGTTGTGCTGAGTGAGATCAAAAAAAAATAATAAATAGGTTGAATTTTCTCATTTATAAATACATTTCGATTTAGATTTTCTTCTTTTCGTTGTAAATAATAATATCAACAATAAAATTAGATAGAAATTATAGAAATTATAGATATGAAAAAACGAATGAGGACTTTAAATCTTATTCATTTATATCTATGCTTATTATGTTTTGCATGGCAGACATATTGTGGTGTGGTTATGCCTCCTCTACCACACCAGGACGTTGTCAAAAATGCGTACATTGTTAAGCATGACTTCACCGATGAATCAGGATTAATGAATGCCTGCAAACGTCAAAACGCAAATTGTAAACCTCGCCTGGATCTAAGCATGATAGGCGCGACATCAGTTACGTGTGATAGTGAAGATGATATTCACAAACTCTGTATGGCTAGTGAAATTAAGTCCGCTCAACCGGTGGTAAGTTCATATTGAATAAATACTAGAAATAAAAAAATTGTTTACCAAATATAATCTATATTTAGGTCAAATTGGCACCAAACTCACTTCGGGTATTTTTTGCTGATAATGTTACTGGAGTTGCTGCAACTATATCAAATTTAAAGTTTACTGGCGAGGGCATCAAGGTAATCATCTAGATTTCGCACAAATTGGTTATATTAATTTGTTACTTTTTAATTTTTTGTTAATCAAATTTTGGTACACATAACAGGTTGGTATTATAGATAATGGAATTGATTTAAATCATCCGGCTTTTGGTGACTGTGATGGGACTATTGGGGGTCCTGGATGCAGAGTTCAATTTGGTTTTGATTTTATTGGAAATGGTACTCCTGAAAATCCTATGCCTAATCCTATCCCTCAAGAAACTTGTGATGGCCACGGAACTCACGTGGCTGGTATAGTTGCTGCGGATGATCATGTTAAAAATTTTACGGGTGTCGCTCCCAAAGGTAAGCTATTATATGGGATATTCCAGTTTTTCTAGTATCTAATACTAACAATTTTAATTTTTTTTTTTCTTATAAAAATTAGCAACGCTTGGCATATACAAAGTTAATAGTTGTGATACCGGAACATCAGATGATATTATTATCAAGGCAATGCAGAGAGCTAAGGAAGATGGAATGGATGTCATTAATCTTTCTCTTGGTCATAATTTTGCTTCTTGGCCGGAGGACCCTCTGGCAATTGCGGCTTCTGCATTAGCGGATAGTGGTATAATCACCGTTATTGCTGGATCTAATAGTGGGGATTCAGGCATCTTTACCCTGGGTTCACCGGATTCTGGAAACAACGTCATTACGGTCGGCTCTACTGAAAATTTCAAGTTCTTTACTTTCTTCTTGACCTTGAGCACTAATCCATCAAGAAAAATTAGTATGTTTCAATTATTTTTATTCCGTTATTTAATCTAAATTATTTGGTCAGAATACTTAGTACTTTTTTTTTTTTTTTTTGATACTAAAAGTTTATTCAACAACTCGAATTACTCTTCACTATGGTTTGTTCGGTCCACTTCCTATTAAACCAACAAGCGACGTACCTCTTACAGCAGATGATGCCTGTCAACCTATCTCCGAAAATTTTGATGGTTTCATTGCTTTAATCGCACGAGGCGGATGTAGCTTTAATCAAAAAGCCGGCAACGCTCAAGATGCGGGTGCAGTTGGTGTAATCTTTTACAATAATAACCCAGCACAATCATTTGCGATAGATGTAAATTCAACAAACCCGGCTGCAATGATTTCACAGGATGATGGATTATTCATTTTAGATCAAATTATCAGTAATCCCTCGGTAACTGTCTCATTTCCAAATGAAACGATTATTGCTGACTCGCAAATTGGTGGTCAACCTCTAAATTCAAGTGGAACGGGCCCAACTTTCGAATTGGACACGAAACCAGACTTTTTGGCTCCCGGAGGTCGTATGTTTAGCACTTTTCCCATAGCTTTTGGATCATATGCAACATTATCTGGTAAACTTTTTAATAACTAATGTATATTTAACTTTAAGATTATTATCATTCTAACACAATTTCACATATTAATCTTAATTAGGAACATCATTTGCCGCAGCTTATGTATCTGGAGCTTCAGCACTTTTTTTACAGGCAAGAGGAAAAACCGATCCGAAACGTCTTCGAGACATTTTTCAAATCACCTCAAAACCACAAGAAATGAAAGACCTGAATCAACAATCACTTGGCATGCTTCACTCAGTATCTAAACAAGGCGGTGGTGTTATTAATGTTTTCGACGCGATAGAATCCGAAGTTGTAATTACACCCGGAAAATTAGCACTTAATGACACACCACATTTTAATGGAACTGCTTTTTTCCAAATTACAAATATTCATCGTGATACCGCAGAATTTGTTATTTCTCACAGACCTGCAGCTTCAGCGAGAGGATTTTTCGGTGGACAATTAGTTCCATTAGCTGATACGTTATTTGACCCGTTTTTCGCTACAGTTGAGATTTCACCTTCGTCGATTAGATTAGGACCTGGAAAGTCAACTACAATTAGATTACGTATAACACCACCTGCTCAATTAGATCCTCAAGAATTTGGAGTATATTCCGGATTCATAGTTGTTAAAAAAATCGGTAAAAATGATCACGGCGATGATCACGATGATGATCACGATGATCACGGTAAAGGTCACGGTAAAGGTCACGGTAAAGATCACGAAAACGATCACGATAAAGGTCACGGTAAAGGTCCCGGTAAAGGTCCCGGTAGAGATCACGATAAAGGTCACGGTAAAGGTCACGGTAAAGGTCACGGTAAAGATCACGAAAACGATCACGATAAAGGTCCCGGTAAAGGTCCCGGTAGAGATCACGATAAAGGTCACGGTAAAGGTCACGGTAAAGGTCCCGGTAAAGGTCCCGGTAAAGGTTCCGGTAAAGGTCACGACGAAAACGATCACGATAAAAATCACGGTAAAGGTCACAGTAAAGGTCACAAACGTTATAAACGTTTCGATGAGGATAGTGATAATAATAATGACGATTTTGAAAATAATGACGATTTTGAAAATAATGCCGATTTTGAAAATAATGATTTTGAAAATAATGACGATTTTGAAAATAACGATGGTCATAAAAACAATAATGATAATAACGGTGATCGTGAAAACAATAATGATAATAACGGTGATCGTGAAAGCAATAATGATTATGAAATCAACGATAAAGGTCTTAAAAACAAAGATAAAAATCGTCAAAACAACGAATACGTAGTCCCGTACCTCGGTCTAAAAGGCGATCTTCGTACATTCCCAGTGTTAGGTTTAGATCCTGCAACAAATTCTCCATTTATAGTTGACAATAGAGACGGCAACCAATTTTTCGATGAAAACGAAAGTGCAACATTCACATTTGAAGACGATAGTTTTCCAACTTTAGTTTATACAATGCTTTTCGGATCACCATTAATAAGGGTAGATTTGGTTGAGGCAGGTACTAATAATATTGTTGGTATAGTATTCCAAGATACCTTTGTACGCAGAAATGATCAGTTCAATGGCGATACATCTTTCTTTGATTGGAACGGAACGGCCTTACAAGATGGTTCTACTACACCGACACCAGTAGAAGACGGGTCATATCAATTCATTCTTAATGCTTTACATGTGTTTGGAGATCGTAATAATGATGCCGATTTTATGAAGTGGCGTTCTCCAATTCTTGTGGTTGAAAGGGGTTAATTTATGGGAAAACTATCTTAATATCAAATGGTTACAAACTCATAAAGATGGTTCAAAAAACAAAAAATTTTTTAGGGTAATTAATATAATTGCCTAAAAAAAAAAAAAAAAAAAATAGATTTATAAATAGATAATCATAATTTTTATTTTTTCATTGTATTTATATGAGGCCAAGAACAATGTGGGTAACTAAAAAGATCATGTCTGCTACGTACGAATAGTTCAACAATCACAAAATTAAATCAAATTTATTAGCAACAGTGGTAAAAAAAATTAATAGCAGATCTATAATATAGTGCATATATTTACAAAATTTTAAATTATTTTTGTTTAAACTCATCATTATTTAATAAAAAAAAACTTGTAAAAATATAATATATTTAAAATTTTTACCAAAAAATTGTAAGTTGTCACTATGGGAAAAAATTATATTGTTCATGTAAAAATAGTCAATATTCTTTGACTTTTCGTATATTCTCGAAATAACGGCTTCTGCGCTTGAAAAAACGGTTTGTTTTTCAAATCATGAAGAAAATCAAGTTTTTGAGTTTTATTTTATTTTTTTGTTAGTCAATCTTCACGATTATCATGTGCAAAGATTATTATAAAAGTTAAACAAATCATACTGTATAAGCAGAATTATTATAAAGTGCGCGTTACTTTCAAAACTAAATACTGGTATACAATTTTTTAGAGGGCATGATTTTTGAAATAGCGCCCATACCCGTTATTTTGGGAATTTATGGCACATAAATTATAATGGAAAGTTAGAATTTCCTTTTTGAAAATAACTTAGAATAACCGGCGGTGATCATCACCGGTGTATAATTAGCCAATAACGATAAACTAAAAAAAGATTTTATTTCATTTACTTTCGGGTTAGGGTAAGGCCTGGGATTTTAGCAAGGTATTAAATATATGCAAAATTTAACAAGGAATTTTTTTTGTTAGAACGTTGAAGGTAGTTTCATAGGCGAATTCTTGAGATATTGACATTTCTTTAAAAAAAATTTTTATTTTTGTTACACAAAATAATTTACACGTTACACCTGATCCTGCAAATTTATTGGTTAATTATATACCAGTGATCATAAAAATATTCTTTCTTTTTTTTTATGATTATTTTTTCATTTATTATTTGTTATTTCTATTTTTTTTTTATTAGAGGTTTGCCCATGTGTGTGATGCTGTATATATATTTTAGATAGCTGTCTCACAAAATTTTTTCCACTCCTTGTAATAATGATCAATTGAATTTCAGGATTAGATATAATATGATAATTAAAACAAATGTGTTTTGTTTTCTAATTAAAAGGTTATATACAAAATTAAAATTAAGAAAATCATATTATAGTTAGGATTAGGACTAGGATAATATAATACTTATAAGTAAAATTTTACAAGAAATATTTCATTAGACCACAGAAGGCAGTTTTCTAATTAAAATTTAAAGCTATTCTTGTTTTTTTGCTTTCATCTTGATTTTCACATTATACCTGATCCTAAAATTTGATTGGTCATTATTACAAAAAGTGTAAAAAATTTTGTAGGACAGCTAGAGGCTTTTTGTATATATAGTAGTCACCAAAAGTAAAGATCATCTAAAGTAAAAATAAATCATGTAACTATCAGCTAATCAAATTATAGAATTCTGATAATCGTCAGTAAAGTAATACAAGAAAGAAAAATAAAAAATTTAAAAAATACAAAAAATGATAGTCAAAACCTACCTTGAATAAGTTAAGCAAAAATGGTAGTAAATTATATATATAACTATCTAAACCTAATCTAACTCCTAATCTAAGATAACTCTAATCCTAAAGTTAATTCAAAAATACTAATTTTATAATATGCAGCATGGTGAACAAACTTAAATTTAGTAATGACTATTACAATTAAATAAAAAAATTTTTTACTTTTTATATGTTAATTGGTGATTTGCCACTCAACCAGAAAGTGCTCATAGTATAATATGATGTGGTTTACATATAGAAATTAGAGTTTTCTGAATGTGGCATGCTTACATCTAAAACTTTTTTTTTGTACTAAGTTAATCACCTTTGGGCCTCTAATTGAAGTTGTAGAGCTCATTGAGACAAATCTAATGGTAGTTAAATCATCAAAATCAGCTTGGTGAATCATGAGATATCTTCGAAAAACATTTTGTCAACTATGTAAAATTTTCTCTTTTAACAATAGTAACACTAAGAGAATTTTACATAGTCAGCGAAACATTTTTCAAAGATATCTTGTGATCTACCAAGCCGATTTTGACGATTCAACTACCATTAGATTCGTCTCAATGAGCTTTACAACTTCAATTAAAGGCCCCAAAGGTGATTAACTTAGTACAAAAAAAAATTTTAGATGTAAGCACGCCATATTTAGAAAATCTTACTTTCTATATATAAACCGCATCACGTTACACTATAAGCACTCTCTGGTTGAGTGGCGAATCACCAATTAAAATACTTTTTATTCTTGTAATTTTTTGAAAACCTATCAATTAAATATGTTTTTTTAAAAAAAAAAAGTAACAGAAATAGCTTCTTTTATGTAGGTATTATTTTGCTTAGGCTTTTTCTTTCTCTATAACTAATAGTAGCTAGTCTTAAATTAGTTTATAAATAGTAAATTAAAAGGTGATTTGCTACACTTAGGTGGTTATACAAGATATAATAGATAGTTCAAATTAATATCATCTTGATACAAATCTGTA